AGACACCGAGTAGTGTTCATGCCAAAAACACTACAGGGAAGTGAATTAAAATATCACATAGTAGAGAAGGAGTCAATGACAATTATTGAGGTGGTTCACAAGTATAACCACTATCTACCATGACAACATTTCTTCCTAGCTAGGAGAATGTGCTTACTAACACATTTAGCCAAGCTTAATGCTTATTCGACCATTAGCACTTCAACCCTTACCAACATTCATAATAGACTATGCCACTTGGGAATTACTCGATTCCTGCATTTTGTTAGAGCAGAAAACCTCCCTTTTTCTATGGAGGAGGTCAAAAAAAGTGTGCGCTTCTTACAGAGCCTGTGCAAAGATTAAACCTTGTTTCTATCACGCACTAGAATGCACTCTTATCAAGGTGACCTGCCCATGGAATGGCTAAGTATCGACTTCATGGGACCCATGCCTTCTTGACGAATACTCAAAGTTTTCATTCATCTTCCCATGTCCAAACATGCAGATGACATCAGTAATTAAATCCCTAGATCTATTGTTCAGCTTAGCCGGGATTCCTGGCTATATACACTCAGATAGATAGGTGTCCTTCATGTCTAAGGAACTGAGAAACTCTCTCTCCCAAAAAAGGGGTCACAACAAGTAAAACCACTCCATACCATCCAGCCAGGAACACAGGTTGAATGATATATTATGGCATTATATGGAAAGCAATTTGTCTAGCCGTTGGGTTGCATAACATACGTGAAAAGTACTGGGAATTGGTGCTTCCTGAAATGTTACACTCGATATGATCATTGCTGTTTACCTCAACAAGTGCCACCCCTCATTAAGGTTTCTTTGCATACCCACACTGCTCATCACAAGGGAGTTCACTGCCACCATTCTGGCTAATGTCACTTAGTCCCATACTATTAAAAAGCTTTGTAAGAAATAGTAAAACTGATCTTTATGTGGATCAAGTCAAACTCCTTGACAGTAATCCGACATATGCTAACATAAGATATTCCAGGTGGAAGGGAGTCTGCTGTATCTGCTCATGATTTGGCACCCTGCCTTGAAATGGAGTTAACCCCTGAGCCCCCCGCCTACCACAGAACAAGATAGGAGTATGCCTATTATTCCTGTACCAGAGGAGGGCATGATGCGTAATGGATCTGTTGCTGAGGTCCAACAGATAAGATCCAGATGGATGACGAGACCTCCAGATTATTATGGATGCCACAATTTTCCAAAGAGCGAAAAATGTGATGTCCTATGCTTGTGTTGTACAAGCAATAGACTCACCCATGCAGGCTATATAATCTGTGACTTATCCTCCCCTCTTTTATTTTATAGCTGAGTTTCATTTAGCTAAATAAAGATTAGTAATTTACTTCTGTTCTGAATTTTGTTTTACTTACATTTATATATGTTACAAATTAAACTAAGTAGAAAGAAAGCAAATGTTGATAAGATAGTCACAAAACACTGTTTAGTGGGGCATAATCAAGTAAATGCTTTACAACATGGAATATAAGAGTTTGTGTGACTATCAAAATGAAGCATCATTAAACACATACTAAAAGTTAATCATTGAAATGAGATGGTAATGTACATTTGGTGTTATAAATAGGAAGGAAATTCTATGAGCTTCTAGAGAAGCTAATGACTGATTTAAACTAGTATTACTCCCAGTTATACCAATTAACAAACAAATGACTAGAATTAAAATAGGAACAACATGATATTCCATCATAACTATTTAATCTTTCTTTGAGGATTTGGCAAAAATCTTGGCTGGATTTACCCAATCCACTATATTCACCAGATGTTGGATCTTTTAGACTACCATTTATTCTGGTTTTTACAGAATTTTCTTATTTTAAAAAATGGTTTCAGGTTCCTGGGAGACTGTAAAAATGCATATTTTGTCATTCTTTTCTGAGAACGATAAATTCAAAGAGGATGGAATTATGAAGTTGTCTGAATGATAGTGAAAGATGAATAGTAAATATCTTAAAAAAAAATCAGTTTTTATTTTTACTTGAACTTTTGATTAACTCAATATTAAAAAAAATTCTTTCTGGAAATCTGTGAATCCCAAATGAACCTCCTCAGTTGCCTTTTAACTGGACCTTTTAGTTTGAAATGAGACGATACCAGTTAAATGAATCATTTTAATACTGACTTCAATTGAAAACTAATTTTTCCATGTAATTGCCAAAATAGTTTGACAGGATGGTTCACCAATGGCAATAATCTCTGGTAGCTGTTCGTGAAAAGGGGTCAATATCCAAGTGCTTTAGCTTCCACAGCTAAATAAATTGTGATAAGTAAAACAAATTGCAGAACAGAAGTACTATGCTTTATTTAGCTAAACTAAACTCAGCTACAAAATAAAGGGGGAAGAAGAGTTACAGATTATATGGCCTGCATGGGCGAATCTATTGCTCATACAATGTAAGAATAGGATTCCACACACAAGACTATTATAGGATGAAAAATGTTTATGAATTTTGACATCATTTTGGAGTCTTCCTTTTTTGTCCAAATCCATCATTTCTTTTGGCTCATACTAAGGCTCAAAGAAACACTATATAAAATTCCCTATTTTTTTTTTTTTATTCATAATATTGAAAATGTTAAAATTATTCAACTTTTTAATAAGAAAATGATGTTAAAGTTGATGACAAAAATTGTCACTGGAGACATATCCTAATCATTCCAACTTAAATACACCCAGAAAAATTGAAAATAAATACATTGTATTTATTTTCAATTTTTCTAGTTGAATTTTTCATCTATATTGCATATGATCCATTATTGTACATAATCAGGTTACAATAAAATTTGTATTTTATATGAAAACTACCTTGTGAAAATTGAAATGTAGTCGAGCAGAGCGCATGAGACCCTTGCACTGGCCCTGGGTGCCTCACAAAAATATGATACCTAAGGTTTAAAATGTATTTTTAAAAATGAAAAATTTTTCTTAAAGTTTTAATTTCAAGCAAATAGATTAAATATTTCCAAATAGCAAAATACTTTTTCTTTATTTCAAAACTAATTTGAATCAACTCAAAGGAGTTTTCATTTTGAAATTAAAATCACTGATTTCAGCACTATATTGAGCCATTCGTCATCACGATATAATTCTCTTTATTAAAAAGTTTTTCAAAAATGAAATATACTTTTCTGGAACTTTATTTGACGAACATTAGCCAGGTTAAAATTTTTAACCAGATTTGAAACAAATATTACTTTATCGCAGAGCTGTTGCTGTTTACTTAAAAAAAAAAAAAAAAAAAAAAAAAAAAAAGAGTAAGACAGCTAGACTGATAAACAGAAGTTCATTTAATTTTTTTCTACAGTGGATATAAAATTTACTAGAGGAATATAACAGGAGCACCATTTTTATATAATTTTCTAACTACCCAGCAATCTTAAAAATCCATAAAAAAAATTCTCCGTAAATGTAATGTTTTGCTGAATTTTAGGTATTTTAGTTTTAAATTTACTAAACTAAAGTTAACGCTCTTTTTTTTTTCTAATGATGTTATTGTTGTGTATGGACGTCCATATTTACAAAATTTGGCACATATACACATTAAAAAAAAAAACTTTTTAAATTTAAAATATTAGAAGGATGGAGCATGAATTGTACTAAGTTTTAATTTTTTTTCTTTTCAATATAGTTTTTACTGTAATAACGATAATCTCAGCCAAGAGAGAATTTTAAAAGATTTAAAAATTGATAAATTTAAAAAAAAAAATGAAAACAATTCTTGTAAAAATTCATCGAAAAATCTTTTTTCTTAAGTGTCCATAATATCTTATTAGTATAAGCAATTAAAATTTAATTTTTTTTTAATTAAATAATGTCTTATTTTTATAGCATTTTTTTCGTTTGACGATTTAGAACAGATTTTCGGTAACTGGACATCCAGTTACCGAAAAAAAAATTTTTTAAAAAATATTTTAAGAACCAACATTTTGAATGCTCTAAAAAGGATGAAAATATATAATTTAATAATCAAAGATATTTTGGTTTTTCCTTTTAATAATAACAAAGAATTTGACAATAAAACTTTTTTTAATTCAGTTTGAAGCATTATGATAGAGTAGCTAACTTTTTAGCGAATCAGTTGTGGTACCTAAATTAAAAAGTCACTTTCAAGTACAGATTCCATCCACTGATAGGAAAAAAAGAAAAGGTATTTATTTTATTTGGTTAATAATAATGATATTCTTTTTATTTATAAGGCAAGACTTACTGTCTTGCTAAATGTGGCGCAAGCAAAAACAATAAATAAATATAAAACTAAAAGAATGAACGTAAATAATGACAGTTTATTATTTTTTATACAGAGAAAGAAATTTTTAGAGATTTCAATTTAAAATACAAAGAAAACTAAATACACAAGAAAGAAGCTTTTTTATAATAAAATACGTAAGAAAGTGAGAATTTAATTGTAAGAGAAAAAAATCAAATTTTGAAATCACTACACAAACAAAAGTAAAACCGACGGAGTCTTTTTTTTGCCAGTTTTTTTTTTACTTGCGTATGTTTTTTTTTAACAGGACAATGATAAATGTTTGCATCGAGTTTTTAAATAGCAATTTTCAATTATATAGTTTTTACTTTTAAAAAGCCGTTACGAAATAAAGAAAAACAAAGAAATAGTTTTTCTATTTTTTTGTCTGAAGTCTGCGGCGATAGCAAGCAAAAAAGATGATTTGATAAAAAATAAAAATAGAGGCATGAGGTAAACTTTTTTTTAGTTAGTCATCTACCAAATAACAATTACTTTTAAAACAATCTCTCCAAAACAGCAAAGTAAAGTAAACTTCATTTTCATATTTGCCACATTGAAGTTACAAACGAACAACACAACAGGCATTATGAATAAATTATCCAAAATAATGAAATAGATCTATCTAAGAAAAAAATCTTGAAACATAAAATCTCCTAGCATCCATAGTATCTAAGAATATACATATATAAAAATATATTCACGTAAATAAATAAAACTTACCCGAAATTCAGACCGGGCCACTCTAAAATCAAAATCCATGGACGCCGCCATGTTAATTTCTAAAATATACAAAAACAGTGACGTAGTACCCAAAAACTGATAACAAAATAGTTTCTGTGTACTTTTTGTTGGTGTATTAAAAAAATGTTTGCTTGCTATTCTAAAAAATGAATGTTTAAAAAACTACTGAGATTTTCAAAAGACACAATGGTGAGGAACTTCTGGAGTCAAGTCAATTTTCTCCAACCTATTTACAGTGTTAAACACTTTTGTTACATCAACAGCCATTGTCTCCTTTTTGATATATTTTTTAAATTTAAAATTAAACAATAATTTCAAAGCAATAAAATTTTTTTTAATCATTTCACCCCGAAGTAAGGCAATAAAACTGACTAAGATGCAAGAGGTTACTAAGTGTTAGAGAATATGAAAAAATACTATTAATTAGAGAGATCAGTAAAAGAACAAGAATTAAGAAGACAGAATTTTGTTAGCTAGATTCTGGCATTTTTTCAAATGAATCCAAATATTTAAAAAAAAAATCATTTCACCTCAAACAAGGCAATAAAGCCACTAAGACACAAGAAGTTACTGAGTATTAGAGAATATAAGAAAAGAAAAACACTATCAAGGAGAGAGAAAATAAAAGAAAAGGAATTAAGAATACAGAAGAAAGAGATTGGCATTGAATTTAAATTTTAAAAGAAACTTGGGTGGCAAGCATGGAGTCAGAAGAGAGTTCCACAAACAAGAATGTAAGAAAAGAAACTGTTAGCATAGAAATTATGGTTACATCTAGCCATTTCAACTAGAAAATGATGAGACCTTGCTGCCAATCTAGTACTGCACTTAAATTCATGAAGTCTAAGTACTATAGAATTCATCTGAACAATTACCATGAAAATATTTATAGAAAAGACACAGAGAAACTGCATTATGGTGGTGAGAAAGGTTCTGAAGTCAAAATACCAGATCAGGAGCAATAATATTGCAGATTCTTTAGATTTTAACAAGAATCTTTAAATATATCGCAGAAGCACCAGACCATATGTGGTGGAATTATTCAAAGCAAGAACAAATTGTAGACTTATAAATATGTAAGATAGATTCTGGCAAGAAAAACTGTCTAGTACAGCACAGTGAACCAACTTTCTTAGCTGCATACCTAGCAATTGATTCAATATAATCTTTCCACTTCATGCACTTCGCAATGGAGGTTAGCATCAGCCATGCTGTTGTGTAGCAGAAAAGGGTTCTCTTAGATGATTAAAAGAAATTTTATTTTGGAGGCATTAAGTAACAAGCTATTTATTGCCCCAGTTAATATATTGTAGGTCATTTTTGAGATCAGCTGCCAATTTGACCTTGTAGTGATACAGAAGGTGATTATCTCCCTTTGGTGGAGATAGTTCATGTAGGCCACATGATGGCTGCTTAATGATGTCACTTCATACAGTGACAAAAGTGGTTAGTCAGTCAGTTTGTTTACAGTAGCCAAACTAAGCACTTGCTTTTTTTAGCTTGGGTCAAGGAACCTAGGGTGAAACTAAATCTGCTTCCCTCAGCAGCTTACAAGCAGAAGGGACCATTTTCCTATTTGAATCTTGAGTCCTAAACATGGCTTCTCCAGGCACCAGAATATCTCCATATTATATATAAGACCCTTCCTTTTTGTTTCTCCTTACACTCTGCTCAGTGTGTAGATATATGTGATATATTATTCTTTGTGTGAGACACATGTATATATGTATATATAGTTTTGTGTATGTCTTGTGTATAGCTTTTGTGTATAGACCTCTCCTATTATAATCTTATCAAACCAATTAGGCTTATTATTAAGACAAGAGTAAATAGTTATGTCATTAGCATAGATATTAAGTTGAGAACTGATGACACCAGGAAGGTCATTTATGAAAATTGGGAATAATGTAAGTCCAAGGATAGAACCCTGGGGAATACCTGCATTAAGGCAAAAAGATCTAGAAGAGTGGACATTCAAAATAACATTCATTTCATGATTTCATAAGAAAGATTGAATCATTTCAAAAACTAATTTAGAAATACTATAAACTTTCAAATTGTGAAAAAGACCAGTATGCCAAACCCTGTCAAATGCCTTCAAGATACCCAAAGTAACATATTTAAAGCATGATAAACTCTTTCAGCAAAATGATCATTAATACATCAGTAGTTAACCTAGAGAGATGAAAGCCATATTTCTTATCTGAAAGAAAACCCATAATGCTTAACCAATTCAGAGTTAATTAGAGTCTCTAGTGATTTTCCAAAAAGAGATAGATGGCTAATAGGTTAATAGAAGGATCAGATGGTTTGCCTGAGTTCTTAAAAACTGGAACTACAGAAGATTTCCAACATGCAGGAAAGCAAAAAACAGTAAGGCATTTATTGTAGAGTTTAGAGAGAACAGGAGCCAGTCTAGGAGCACATTTCTTAAGGACTATTGCAGAGATACTATCAAGTTCACATCCTTTGTGAGGATCTAGTTTAGAGATGCTAGCAGAAAGCATAGATGGAGTTTTATGCATATCACTGAATAGAGACTCAGTTGAAAGTCAGGCAAAGATACTCCAGATGAGTCAAGAATAGAATGTGTAGGGAATTTATGAGCAAAACATTCTTCTTTATCAGAAGATGTTAACACTTCAAAATTGAGGGAAGAAAGAAGGGGTAGATGACTTACTTTTATTTAACACACTATTACAGAGCTGCCAGTAGCCATGTGAACCAAACTTGTTAGAGTCTATACTGTGCCTCATTCTGTCAGCAAACAAAAACTTAGCTTCCTTGAGAAAACATTTACAATTATTGTGAGCGGACTCAAATAGGTGTCTGTTGTGATCAGAGCTATCATGCTGAACAGGCTGGTGGTTTCACCTGGTATTTCCAAGAAAATACAAAAGCATCAGTGCTGGTTTTAACCCAACAAGAAACCTCTTTGGCACAATTCCCAATAGGATGGTTAAGAATATCAATTCAAGTGGCATCTCGAATAAAGTCATGAAATGAATCCTAATCAGTACACTGAAAGAAGTCTTATGAATAGGAGTTTCCTTTCTAATAGAAAACTCAAAAGAAATATCAATATATACTACAGTGTGATCTGAATTGCCAAGAAAACCAAATTGTGATGCTTGTCAAGAGTTAAAAGAGGATCTAAGGAAAAATATCAAATAAAGAAGATTGTTGATTAGATTTATTAGGGTTTCAGTATATTAGACATAATAGCTGACAGTATAGAAAAGGTACTTTCTTTCCATCCATCTGCAAACTTATTTGTCTTTTTTGACTTTAATGCTCACCATGACATTTGGCTGAAATATTCTTAAGGTACTTATGTTGCCGGTATTCAGACATTAAATTTTTCCTATGTCCAATCCCTTACTCAAATCTATTTATTTCCCCAGCTAAACTGAGCAACAGGAAATCTCTACTTGATTTATTTCTCCCCTCCTCTCCTTGCTCTTGCTAAGCTTCACATCACTGCCCTCTTGGTGACTTGGACCACTCTGTGATGTCCATTTTGTTCTAATCATCCATTAAACAGGAGCACTTTATCCATAAGACCTCTTTCTGTTATCAGCATGCTGATTGGGACTCACTCCGTGATTTTCTTTGTGATGTCCCTTGGACTGACATCTTTAACCTCCCACAACTAAGGTTTCTTCCTGGGTCAAAGCCAGCATGGACACTTTCATCCCTTCTCAGAAATACCAGGTGAAACCTCAATCCTCTCCATGGTTCACACCAGCTTGCTTGGCTGCTATAGCAGACAGGAACCACTATTTTTGGTTATACCGGCATGACAGCTCTCATCATAACAGGCGCCTATTTGTTACTGCTTGTAATAAATGTAAGCAAGTCCTTGAAGGAGCTAAGTACCTGTTTGTCAAGAGAATGAGGTACTGCATAACCTCCAACAACTTTGGCTCTCATGATTACTGGCATCTCTGTAATAGGGTATTAAATAAGTGCAATGTCTCTATTCCCCAACTCTTTAATTGATTTGAGGTGTTATCTGCTGATAAAGCTGAATGCTTTGCCCATAAGTTCTCCTCAGACTCTACCCTTGACTTATCTGGAGTGTGGAATTTTCCACATTAGCCTTTAACTTCCTTCAAACAAATGTATTCTTCTCTAAAAAGCCTTTAGCCAATCATCATCTCGTTTTTGAAAATCTGATCTTTTTATTGGATAATAAGCACCAAAGTGTAGCAAAATTCCAAATGAATCCTATTTCCTGCCAAGCATTTGGTGCTGATTTTGCTACACAAAAATCTATAAATTTAACCGCATGATTCAATTCAGTCAGTCAGTCACGGGATTCCACTCGTGTGAGGAGGAGGCCGGCTGTACACCCTGAGCCGAATGCTCCTTCTACCATGAATGTCGTCGTGCTCTGAAACACCTCGTACGGGCATCGGATGGCCTCTCCAATGCCTGGGTGTTGTCTTGTAGGGCATTGTATCAACTGTTAGCTGTGGGGGGGGCATTCAGGATGATCTAATTGATGAGCTCGGTCTTACGAAGCAGGGGGCTTGTTCAAAATGGCCTTGGGCAGTGTAGAAAAATCACGTATTATTGTTATTCTACAGGCACCTGGGTTGAAATGCCTCAATAATGATGAGGCATCACTCACCTAGCTGGCAATTCATGGGGCCCTCTGGGTCGCCAAAAGACTTTGTTCAGATGGCCTGGAGAAATATCCAAACTGCCGTTGCTGTGCCAGGGAAGTCGAGACCATTGGTCACACCTTCTTTCAGTGCAGGGTGGTAGTGCCATTGTGCAAGTTTGTTGAAGGCCTCATGGTCCACATGCTGCGAGGAAAGTTCTTTGTCCTTGAGGCCAGTTCTGTTTGTAGCAATGTGGTGCCACAGATGATGAAGGCTGTTACACTGTGTTCTTTTGCTTACTAGGTGTTATGAGAGTCGTGATTTGGACGACGCGTCAGAAGGAATTCTATGATGGCGAGAAGTTCACTTCTTCCCAACTGATCTTGTACTTTAAGCATCAGCTTAAAGTCAAGATTAGGA